TTCTCCCAGAGAATCATGGGTTTAAAACAATTGAATCCTTGTTGAATGTATAATACTCTTTGTGCTCTTCAAAAGCTCACAATCCTGTTCCTAGGTAACGCAGTTAATTGGACCACACCGTACATGGTGATTGCACTGAAAATAAAATTTCAATTATTGGGGCTAATTTTGAAATATTCTATTTTTGGTGCTTTTTTTTAGGGGCAATTTATGCTTGTATAGATTTTATTTTAATTTATTTATACTTTTTAATTTGATTGTACAATAAAAAATAATTATCTCTCATCCAATAATATACTTCATACACGTACCACGTTTCTATAGTTTTGTAACAATTAATTCGATTTTTGTTAATATTGTAAATATTTTAATAATTATATAAATAAAAAATAATTCTCGATTAAAATAATAATTAACAAAGTACAAGAATTTCAAAACTATTTGGATTTTCTCAAGCTCAAATGAGCTCACGGGTTCAGCTTTAACTCGAGTTTAGTTCTAAAATTTGAAATCATACTTACCACATGATAGAACAACCGGAAGTTGAACTTTAATATAAATAGAAGGGTTTATTTGGACATTAGTAAAAACTACGAGGATTTAATTGAACCACAGGAAGTTTCAAGGATCTGTTAACCAAACAAAACGGTTAGGCTATCCTCCCCCTGTACCGCAGCTCCATCCACCAGTGTTCTTCGGGTAATCTTCCTGCGCATAACACCCGACCCGGTTTTAAAATGAATGCCTAAAAATCGCTGCCAACCGCCGCGGGGGAGCTGTTGAAGAACCTCCCTCCATTCCGCCTCACATTTTGCCGGCGACGAAGAAAAAGTGCTAAATTATACCGGGATCTTCCATTTTCACAAATATCCGCTATAAATCTGTATGTGTTACCGGTACTAAAAACACTGGTCATATCTTTCTCTGATTCATGTTCTAATTTACATGAAGTAATTTTTCATAAACAGAATGTTGTGTCCATACTTGATAAAATAATTTAGCAAGGATTTTTTTATGTTAAATTTGATGTTAATTAAATAAATTTCCCCTGATTCTGCTTCTTCAATTTCAACAGAGAAAATTAGCTTTTCTTGTGCTGCATTAGAATGATAAAGACTTCGTTTCTGCCTTGCAAAGTATGTATAATCTTCATATCTACTTTGAGTTCTATATCTTCATGAACCTTTTTAGGACTTTGCATAGCTGACTCTGATGTCTTAATTTTACTTGACCCAGCTGTTGGGATTGGGCCCAACGCCCTCTTAGGGCCACATACAGCAGGCCCAACTACGCACCCACAGGCCCAAGAGGAGGAGACATACCCACATGGGCAGCACCACGTAGGCCAATGAGAGGCTTACATGTGCAGATACATGTCAGTATTTGGGGCTATAAATACCCCCCAACCACCTCCGAAGAAGGTAATTAATCTCTACGCCTCTCTCTCTGCAATTACTCCTTGAGAGCATCTCTCTCTAGAATACTGAGTATTGCTGACTTGAGCGTCGGAGTGTTTTTCCCGAGGAAACAACCTCGGGATTTTCAGGTGTAGAAGCAGTTGAAGACTTCAACAGTGTTGGGTCGTGAAGTTGCCGAAACATTGGCGCCGTCTGTGGGAACTCGAACAAAAAGCTATGTGATTTAACCGGCAGAAAGACAAAATGGTTCGTACCTTTACAGGAGAATGCCCCCCAAGAAATGAAATAGACGAACAGGAGGACGATCACGTATCTGAGGCCGGCTTGAATGACTTTAGGCCGATGCCAAGAAATCTCTTTGTAGGAGGAGCCGAACAGGATTACCTAAGTGAGACGGATGATGAAAGAACACCAACTGGGTATGCAACCCAGCCTGAACAGTTCCAAGCTCCAACAGGAACGAGACAAAGATCTGCCAGACCGAACAATTCACAGCGTGAACGACCTGAAAGGTCAGCAGAACCTGCTCGGACAACCGAGCTCGAAGAGAGAACCAGAGTTCTCGAAATGGCAATGGGAAGAATCCTTGCCCGCTTAATCCCTGATGACCCCCTAATTCCTTTGTTGAACAGGGATGCGCAACCAGCTGCGGTTGTAGCGACTAGAAACTCACCCGCTCTTAGCAATATAGTGGTGCCGACCAGGCCGAGGGGAAGTGGGAAGTTGAATGTCGAGCCCAGCTCGTCCAAATACAGTGAAGAATTGATGAGAAAGAACGCAGACCTTGAAAGGCAACTGCGGGATGTACAGAAATCCATTGACGAGCTGAAAAGCCCTCGGTCGCATCAGCAGACTTTGGATTTGGATAGCGCTCCGCTGAACCTATCCATCACGGCAGAACCATACCAAGAGGGATTCAAAATTCCCCACTTAGAGACGTATGATGGCACGAAAGACCCGGATGAACATCTGCACACCTATCAAGCCATCATGAGGATTCAAAACGCCAATGATGCTATGATGTGCAAAGTATTCCCGGCGACACTGAAATCAACAGCCCGAAGATGGTATCACAAACTCCCCAGGCATTCAATAGATTCGTTTTCCCAGCTCGCCAAGTTGTTCTCTAACAAATTTGCAAGCCAAAGGGAGATCAAGCGCACAGCAACTGAGCTGATGCAAGTTAGCCAGAAGGAAGGGGAGTCTCTGAGGGATTACATGCAGCGGTTCAACAAAGCCACATTGGACATTGATAATGTCCCAGATACAATCTGCTTGTCTGCACTGTTACATGGATTGAGGCGTGGCCGGTTCCTAGACGACCTGCTTGAAAACCCACCGAGGACGTGGAACGAAGTGAATGACAGGTCGGCCAGCTTCATACTGTCAGAGGACTTTCAGTCGTCCAAGCGACGAGCTGATGATAAGCCGAGCAGAGGCCCGGAACAACAACCGAGAAGAGAAGAGAAAAAGAAGCAGAAGGTTGGTGAGCAATGGGGGAAACCAACCGAGTTCCCGAAGTATGCCAGTTACATTCCTTTGACCTTACCTAGGTCTCAAATCCTGGCAAAATTCAGCACTGGGTTCGGAGACCTCCACCCCCACTACATGATTCCTCGAGGGCAGATAAGACCAAGCATTGTGACTACCACCGTGTATATGGTCACAATACAGAGGACTGCCAACACTTGAAGGACGAGTTAGAGTTTTTGGCTCGTAATGGGAAGCTGGAAGGGTATGTTCAAAAGCCTCACACCCAACAACCCACTCAAACTCATTTTGTACAGGCGTACGACCGACCTCAAGGACAGAGGTACCAGCATGGAGGGACGCAGGATGCATATCAGGATAGTCTTTATCCTTCTGAACAGGGCAGAGCATACCGAGGACGTCCTTTCAACAGGAGAGGACAGGGACCGAGAACTACCGCCCCGAATCAAAAAGACAGGAAGGGGGTAGGTTATGCTGAAATACCCCCACCTTCTGGTACAATAAACATGATATCGGGTGGTGTTCACTCAGGGGGCCAAAGCGCCCGAGCTCGCAAAGCGTATGCCCGACAGGTGATGACCGTTAACAAAGACAGACCCTTGAAACGGCCGTTTGAGGAGGCAGAATGGGAAAATACGCCCATTACGTTCAGCCCGTCAGATTACAAGCGAGCAGAAGGAGAGCCTGATATTATGATGCCTCATGCAGATCCCTTTGTAGCAACAGTTCATATAGGCAATCATAATGTCAATAAGGTGTTTATTGACACCGGCAGTTCGCCAGACATCCTGTACTGGGGTTGCTTCCAGAAGATGCAGCTAAATCCGAGCTCGCTGCAGAAGCACGAAGGCCCAATATACGGGTTCGATAACCAGCCCGTCCCGGTTGAGGGAGTCATTACTCTTCCTATATATGTGGGCTCAGAACCGCGCTTTAGGATGGCTTCTGTCACCTTCCTGGTCGTCAAGATGGAATCAGCCTTCAATGCCATACTGGGAAGAGCCACACTGTGCGAGCTGAAGGCTGTTGTCTCACAGCCCCATCTCTGTATGAAGTTCCCAACTCCTCAGGGGGTAGGAGTGCTGAAAGGAAATCAGAAGATGGCTAGAGCCTGCTATCAAGACACGTTCAAGAAAGTTGAGCTCGTTGCAACCCCGGCGAGTGTTGAGGGTCGGAAGCCAACCCAGCTTGGTCAACAGACAATGAGCATATCAGACATTGAGCATCGACCTGAAAGCGTCGAGCAGAAGGCAGAGCCAGTAGAGCCAGTAGAAACGGTGCCTTTGAACCCGGATGTGCCAGAAAGGACAGTGAAGATCGGCACTAAACTTACAGACGAAGAACGGGCAGAACTTCTGGAATTCTTGAGGAATAATCAGGATGTGTTTGCATGGACTACGGACGAAATGCCTGGCGTCCCAGCAGAATTGACAGTCCACAAGCTTAGCACAGACCC